CCCAAGTTATGTCCTGTTCACAGGTACCCAGAGCTCAGCCTTAAACATACAACTTTGAGGGGACACAATTCACCCCCCCCATACAGTGGCATCGAGAGGACGGTGGACGTCCCAGGACCGTCCGCTGGGTCACATGCATGTGCCTCTGAGAGGCGGCCCATTTTGCATAAGAGGAAGAAAGGCAGGCCTGAGACCAGAGCTGGGACTGTCAGGGACTCTCAGTCTAGGCTTGGGAGTCTCAGGGGGACGGGGGTCCAGTCTCACTGACCATAAGCGCGCAGGTGCTGGCGGGCAGGGGAAGCCAGCAAGGATAATTAGACAGCAAATCTCAGGTGGTGGGGGAATTTGCCCAGGAGGGGCAGTGCAAATAGCAGGCTTCAAATTAAGCTCTGGGGAATGAGGCCCCAATGGCCGCCTGCACACAGAGACAGCAGGGCCACGAGGGGCCTTGAAACCACCAGTTTGCCCCGGGCCAGAGACTCCATCATCAAGGCCCAAGAACACACCGACCCCTGCTGCTCAGGACATACTCAGGCCCAGGGAGGCAGGGTCCTCGGGGCCACTACCCCTCAGCCATCCTGCCCCTCTCTGGGTCTCAGTTTCCCCATCTGTGTAATGGAGGCAAAGCAGGGCCTGCAGGGCACGGGCTCAGGGAGCCAGAAGCCCTGACTTGGGTGGTCAAGGCTGGGCCTTTGTCTCCGCCCTGCCCAAGCCAGGCTGGCCAGCTGCATTCCTGCAGTGATTTATGGTGGCCAGGGAGGCCCCATATTTCCCCCTGCCTGAGGGGTGTGGGGCCTGCAGGTGGACGTTCCCATGGGCGGGCACCCACTGGGTCTCCTCCACCACCCCTGCCCCGTCCCCAGCTCTCCCTGCCCCCCAGGGCCCCCCAGCACTGTGTGCACCCCTCAACCCACTCCCCCTACCCCCGGCCCCTTTGGCAGAGCCACACGATTTACACACCGCTTAGGGCTCCTGTCCTGTGCCTGGGAGGAATGTCGGAGATTCTGTCTGTCTTCTTCCCAGTGGCAAAAACAGGGCCAAGCACATTGTAGTCACTTAATAAATGTTCGTTAAATGAACCCTGATTCTCTGGACTCCAACGTGAGCCAGGAAGCGCAGAGGAGAGCTCAGACTTGTCAGGAAAGTGCCCCCAAATTCACAGCCGTCCGGAACCTCAGAAAGGGACCTCCTCTGGAAATGGGGTCTGGACAGATGCTGTTACTTGAGATGAGGTCCCAGAGTAGGGTGGGCCCTGAATCCAGGGACAGGTGTTCTGAGAGAGGACACAGACACATGGGGAAACGGAGGCAGAGACGGGAGGGAGGCGGCCACAGGCTAGGGGATGCTTGGAGCCCCCAGGAGCTGGAAGAGGCTGGAAGGACCCTCTACTGGAGCCTGGTAAGGGAGCGTGGCCCTGCCACATCCGGAGCTCACATGTTTCCAGAACCGTCGCCAGAACCGGGAGAGTAAATCTCTGCTGTTCTAAGCCGCCAAGTTTGTGGTCACTTATTACAGCCACTCCAAGAAGCTCTCATGGGCAGCAGTGACCCTCGGGCCCTTCCTGACAAGGGAGTGACCCATGTGGAGGGGGTCTACCCTGCCGGCACCCTTTTCCCTGGCCAGGCTGCCACAAGAGATCGTGGTGGCCCTCCTGCCTCAGTTTCCCCATCCTTCAAGAATGGTGGGCGACAAACACAATAGCTTCCCCTGAGCTCCCACGACTATCAGGACCCCCATGTTCCCAGCGGGGAAACCAAGGCTCAGGGCAGAGAACGGCCGCTAGGGCAGAGGCAGGCTGGCTAGTGGGGCCATCAACCCCCAGACCAAATGGTGGGAGGGCTGCGGTGGCACGGCCAGTCCCCCATGGGGCTGGAGCATTGTGCAGGGCCATAAAGGGGGTGGGCCGGCCCCCAGCTGCCGGTGGAGGAGGCAGCTTTAATGGCCGTTGCTGTGGGCAGCCTACAACAAAGCCAGGCAGTAAAGGCCGCCCCAGCTTTATGGGGCTCTGGCCTCAAAGTTCCGCACCCCTGTGGGGTGTCCTGCCCTGACCAGCCGGCCAGGGCGGCCCACCAGGCCCCAGGGATGAGGAAGTAGGGGACAGTGTCCAGGCCTCCCATGGTGGTGTCCAGTCCCCCCATGTGAGCCACTAGGCCCGGCTACCTGTCCTCACAAGGCTCTGGAGCCACGCAGCTGGGCCACAACACGTTCCGGGCCACGCCCAGGCCTGGGTCCCACCTGGGTGCTCTGGCTGAAACCCAGCCCCTTTCAAGATGGACCAGGAGGCAGTAACATCGGTGCCTGTGGGACCCAGAGCTGCAAAGCCAGGCTGGAGACTGGGCAGAACTTCAGGAAACCCCTCCCTGGGGCTGAGGCCTGAGATAAACTGCCCCACCGCTCCCTCCCCAAAGCCTGATCTCCCTGGGGCCCCTGGGCACTGTGAGCATGGGTCACGCTCTGCTCCCGCCTGTTCTCAAGACCCTCCTCCCCGCAGCCTCCAGGTCCGGCGGGACCTGCCCGGTCCGCTTCCCTCTGACCTCTCACCGGCCTTCTCGCTGCTTCTCAAACCCGCCAGGGGCAACGGTCCCACCTCTAGGCCTTTGACCCGCCAGCTCCTTGTGCCTGGAATGCCGCTCCTGGCTCTGCCCGCAGGTCTCTACTTAAACGTCGCCCTCTAGGGAGGCCCCCACCCAACCAGTGGGCACCGTGTTCTCAGTTGGAGCACATTCACCAATGATGGGCGACACGCACCCCGCTATCCCCCTGAGAGCCTCCGGGATTTGGTCGGTTGGGCTCCCAGTGTCTAGAATTGGCACACGGCAAATGCTTGCTAAATTCTTGTCAAGTGGACCTTGACTGTGCAGTGCCACGCAGGGATGGGAACCTCATCCTTTCCCAACTCTGAGATGTGTCCATGCGGGACCCATGCTTTGGGTCAGCTGCGTCCTGGCATCGGTGGGGGGAGGGAGCTGGAGTCTGCCCTGCGACCCTGGGCCCACCCCACCCTTCCCAAGCCTTGCCTATCAAGTGAGGACAGAACCTCGAAAATGTGGGATGTGGGTGTACAGGCACCCGCAGGTGCTCCCAAGAGTTTCCACCTGCAGGGCGGGGTCACCGGGACATGCCAGGCTGGCACCCTGTGGCCCCCCCCACCCATCTTAGGGTTGGTGGGGCTCCTACCCCGTGAAGGAGGGTGACCTTTTACAACGACCGAGGCTGGGCCAATCATGTCTGTCCTACCGCCCACACCACCCAGGCCACCTAAAGGAAACTGAGGCACAGACCAGGCACCGCAAAGGCCCCATCCGGCCCTCGGCAGCCAGAGGGGCCCTCCCGGGCATCCTGAGCAAGACCCTCCCCTGCCCTCCAGTCTCCCATGGCTCCCCAGGGCCCCCACCAGAGTGCTCACTTCCCCTGTGGCCCTTTCCAGCCCCTCACCTCCCTCTGCTCAGCCCCCTTGGGCCCTGTCATGCTTTCTGAGCACATCACACAGGACCTCACCTCAGGGCCTTTGCACCAGCTGCTCCTTCCTCTGGAATGCAGTTTCCCAGAGCCCGCATGGCTCCCTCCCCGCCACCTCCCACCTCTCCTCCTTGCCCCCTGATCCCTCCTCTGCCTCAGTTTCCTTCGCAGCAGAGGCACCAGCCAGCCTCACTCCACACACTGATCTCTCAGCAGACACGCGAGAACACTTGGTGGACAATGAACACTAAAGTCCGCGGCCCCACACGCGCCTTGCTCTGGGCCCAGTGCTGGCTGGAGGGGGAGGCCGGAGGGCGAAGGAGGGGGGACCCCGGTGGGACACCCCCCACAGAGGGCGAAGGGCCAAGTCGTCCAGGAGGAAGAGATGAAGGGGGCTGCTGGGTTCAGGCAGTGGGCGGGGGAGGGGCAGGAGGAAAACGCCGGGTGACCAGCCCCTCCCCCAAGTGCTTGAGGGGCAAACAGGAAATTCTTGTTTGTGGCGAATGGTGAGCGTTATTTTACCACCAAGGCTGCGAGAAAGTGGGGTTGTGCTGCTGACCAGGCCAAGATAACCCTGGGCGGGATAGGGGGCTGCAGCCACCCTGCGGGGACAGTGGCCCCTCAGGGCCCCACCTGCCAGCCTGGAGGCCAGGGCAGGGCCCAGGTTTGCAGGGGGGAGGGGTGCCACCTGGGCTGCACGCGGGAGACCCCTCCTGGGCAGTGACATCCGGCCATCCCCAGCCTGTCCCCAGCCTGCATGGGGCCCAGGGTAGCGTCCAGCCCAAGGCAGAGGGGGCCCCGGCTGTAAAGCAATCACCCGCCCCAGGGCCCCCGGGGAGGACCTTTGCCCCCTTAACGGTGTCTGCTCAGGCCCCCTCCCGGCGCCCTGGCGGCTCCAAAGTCCGCGGGGCCCCACCTTGGACGGATGAGGCCGCCAGACTGGCAGGGGGACTCCAGGAGTGAGGCCTCTGTCCTTGGACGGCAGAGACAGGGACCAAACTCCGGAGGAACCGGGAGGGTTCGGGGGACCGGCCAGCCCCCAGCTCCGCAGAAGGACAACGTTCTCTGTGGCAGACACAGTGGCAGAGACGCCCGCAGGTGGGAACAGGTTTAAAGAGGCAGGTTTTTCACGGGCTTGTGGGGAACGAGAAACAGACATCTTCCCTGACAGCCAGAACAGCAGGAACGGACAGGCGCCGTCGCACGTGGGGACCTCGGGGGCCCTGCTAGAACCCCCGCCCTCAGATGGGGTCTGGGAAGGGACGAGGGATGAAGGGAGGAGTGAGGCCATGGGCAGGCTGGGCGCAGCCCGGGAGGCTTCATGCCCTCATCCCACCTGCCGTCCTGGGTCTTTAGAAAGTATTCATGGAGGCAAGAGTCACACAATATACACTTCACCATCTTCAAGTAAACGATGCAGGGGCCCCTAGTGCATTCACACTGCAGTGCAAACTTCACCTCTGTCTAGCTCCGGAACGTCCCATCACCCGGTGGAAGCCCCATCCCCACCAGCAGCCACCCCCTCACCCCCCCAGCCCTGACAGCCAGGAGCCCCCTCCCCGGGTCTGGGGACTGGCCTGTTCTGGACGCCTCACGTCCGTGGACTCAAACGCTGTGTGTCCTTCTGTGTCTGCTTCTCTCCCTGAGCACCGTGCTCTCAGGGTCCGGCCCCGTGGCAGCGGGTGTCAGGGCTGCTCTCCTGCTCACGGCCGAGCGACGCTCCCGCGTGTGGAGGGACACCTTTGTTTCTCCGTTCACCGCTGACGGGCGTTGGGGTTATTTCCCCCTTTTGACTATTAACTGTGAATCACGCTGCTAAGAACCTGCTGTGTAATAATCCCACTTATTTCTATTCCCACCATGTTTTGGACAAAAGTTGATTCACTGTAACTCCTATGAACAAAGTGACACTGCAGGGAAGGCTGCACTGCTGTTTTTGAATCTCCCAACATCCCCTCCCCACCAACACCAAGAGCAGCATGCGGCCAGCCCCCAGGATCGCCCCCAGGATCAGGGAGCTTGATGTAAATACAGAATGATGTCTTGATGTCTTTACATCAAGATCAGGCTGCAGGGTGGAGGGAACAGCTCGGTGGCAGAGAGCGTGCTTAGCTTGCACAAGGTCCTGGGTTCAATCCCCAGCACTTCTGTTGAAACAAGTAAGTAAACACCTAATTACCCTCCAAAAACAAATAAAGTCTAATTAAAAAAAAAAAGAACCAGGCCGTGTCTCCCCTGCTTCAGAGGCCAGACCTCCTGACTGCGGGCCCGCCTCGTGCACAGTGCTCCCTGCTCGCATCCTGGTCGGGCCCAGGGCCTCTGCGCTGCCGGCCCCCACCTGGGCCCCTCCCCAACCCGCGGCTCGAGCTGGGCACCTGCCCTGAGGGCTGGAACTGGGTGGCGCCCCCAGCAGCGCCCCCAGCACGACAGGGCTCACTGACTCTTCTTTGGATGGGTTCCTTCCGCTCTTTCTCCCCACCCCCACGAGAGCCCTTGGGGCAGACTGGAGATTAAGGGTCAGCCGGTACACAGCAGGCGCCCACTCACGAAGGAAGGGAGGGGGGAGAGGGCACACTTGGGCAGCCGTCCCCAGGTGCATCCTCCACCAAGCCGGCCCCGCGGCCCCCGGCCCCGCTGGTGAACCCCTCCTCACATCGTCAGGCGCTGGAAGGCAAGCCCAGGATGACTCAGCAGGGCCGGCTGCTGCCCAGGTGGGCCAGAGCGCGTCCCTGGGGCCCGCTGGCCCCACTCACAGAACTGCCCGTGGCCACAGGGGGAGGCGGGGTGGGGGATGCACTGGGGCGGCGGCCCATGACTTCCCAGCCCCTCTCCTCATGCCCACTCTGCACTGGGGAACCTGAGCTGGGAGGAGGCACCGTGCACCTGAGGACCCGGTCTCAGTCTCGCCCGGGGCAGACTGCAGTAACCGTCCTCTTCCACCTCCACCGAGAGGCCCACAGCTGCCAGCAGGGAGCTTGAGGCCCAGGCTCAGCGCCTGGCTGGAGACCCAGGGGGCAAGGACCTGGCGGGACAGACAGATGGATGAAGTCGGAGTGACAGTGGGGCTGCAGGAGGAGGTGACGTGGGGTGGAGGACCAGGAGTCGGGAACCTTGCGTGTCTCCACTCCCAGCAGGGGGGTGGGGATGGGGCCACGTGATCCGGTCACCAGCTGCGGGGGGCACCGGGGGTTCCTGGGACTCAGACCCCCCACAGCACAGCGTCGGGAGGTCAGGGCCAACTGAGAGTTTGGCCTTGGGATTTCGGCCACATCAATCCGTTTTGCAGCCACGACTGAGCACCTTCTGCATGTTAAGGCCTACGCTGGGTGCTGGGGACACCGCAGTGTGCCTGAGAGCCCCAGAAGCCCCTTGGGAGCCCCAGGCCAGCAAGGGGGACAGGAGAAGTCACACACAGGAGGGGAGGTGGGGAGGAGCAGGCCTCTCCGCTGCAGGACGGGGCAGGGCAGGCTCGCTGGCCACTGCACACAGCAGGGGCTTAATCAATGTCTGTGAGGAGACCTCAGCCCAGCCCCACAGCTGCCCTCCTGGCGCACCTGCTGGCTGGGCCACCCCCACCGGGCGCAGGGCCACGCAGCCCTTTCATTTCCCGTCAGTGCTCCAGGGCCGCGGGGGCCCCACTGGGCCCGCAGGAAATTGGGGAAGTGATTCTGGGCAGGGCAGAAACATCTGCCCGGTGGCCACCAACCCACCGCCCGCCCTCCCGGGCCACCAACCCACACGTGTCCCCTCTCTGAAAAGACACGGCACCTCCACCCACGCCCCAGATATTAATAAAAGCTCCAGAAACGAGTCACGGAGCCGGACCACGAAGCTGACGATGAAAGGCGCTGCTTCCTGGACTTCCGGGTTAGCGGTTCCAGGGAAGTGCCCTTCTCTCCAGGTCGTGTGACCAGGGCCCCCGGGGCCTCAGTCTTCCCATCTGTGAAGTGGACAGGGATGCACCTGAAGCGTCCAGGATGGGGATGAGGGGTCCCGTGGAGCAGACTGTGCAGGGAGGAGAGTCCGGCTCCGAGAAGATGCAGGGGCACCGAGTAGGGCAGCAGAAGGAGCCACCTTGGTGGCAGCCCCATGTCACAGCTGGGGACAGCAGCAGCTCAGGCATGGAGGACGCATCCAGGATGGGGAGCAAGGGACAGAAACTTCTAGGAAGGCAGCTGCCCTGTGGTGGCATGCAAATGACATGCAAACCGGGGTGGGTGGCCTCCAGTCCGCCTGGGAGCCCCCCACCCACCGGCCTGGCTCTGAGCAGACCGCTGTCTGCACAGCAGCCCATTTCGCAGAGGTGCTGAGGGAAGGCCGCGCAGCCAGCCTGGAGCCCAGGGCCAGCCCCTCGGAGCCTCTGGGACGACTCCGGGCCTTGCAGGGCTGCAGGAAGAGGGGTCCTGTTCCAGGCGCCTGCCGCTGAGGGCCCCAGGCAAATGCTTTGGGGCCAAAGAGCCGAAGACCCAGAATCTTCTCCCTCCCTGCCCCCACCCAGTGACGAGCCCAGCGCTCCACGCTGCTCTCAGGGCATTTCCTACGGGGGTCCCAGGCCCCTGCAAGCCGAGCATGACAGCCTCGCTACCACTCAGCCGCTGGCTTGGAGTGGCGAGGGGTCCGAGCCCTGCACCCAGGGCTCAGCACCGGGAATTCAAAATCCCGCCGTGGGGCTTCCTCTGAAAGGAAGCAACCCTGTTTCCCTGCAGAAGAGCTGCGGGCAGCCCCGAAAACGCTGGGAGGGACTTTCCTAGCGGTGAGGCTGTTCTGAAAGGTCTACCTGGTCAGGGAGTGAGGTCCCAGCCCAGGTTCTCCGAAGGGAAATGCAACAGCATTAGGGAGCAGGAGGCCAAGTGGCCCTGCTGAGAGTGCAGGAAGGAAGGGGGCTGCCTCCCGCCCAGGAGTCAAGAGGAAGGGGCCTCGAAGGGCTCAGGGAGGAGCCTCGGTGAGACCCCAGGCCAAGGGCAGGAGAACAGGGCCCACCCCGTGGTGGCCGGCAGGCTCAGAGGGCCCTCAAGCCTAGCCTCGACTGCAGGACAGGGACTCCGCTGCCCAGGGGCAACTGCTCCAGTGAACAGAGTGGGGCTGAGATCCAAGCTGGGCGGCCCCCCATCCTGGGGCCCCACACGCCCGCCTGCTCCACCAGGACCCTGGTGGCAGCCAAACACCAGCTCAAATGCTGACCCCATCTTACAAACAGGGAAGCCGGGCCCAGAAGGCCAACATCTGCACCCCAGCGTGGCTGTCCCGCCCATGGCGACGGCACCGAAAAAGAATAACCCCAGAGGTGCCCACAGACCCCGCTGCCCGTCCTGTCCAAGAACCAGGTTCTCGGTCAGTGAGGGCGTGGACCAGCCGGGGGGGGACAGGGAGGGGCCGGGCAGGGTGCCAACTGTAGCAGGGCCAGCCGCCAGGCTGCGGGAGGGCGGCAGCGGTGCCCACGCTCGCCGTCCATTGGGCACTCGCCGGGGCCACTCCTGGGAGAAGAGCAGCTGAGGAGTGATTACGGGGTGATGGGAGGATGGAGGGTGAAGAAAAACGGGGAAGGAGAGAGACAGAGACAGAGACACATGAGGGAGAGAGAAACCAGAGACCCAGGGACAGAGGGACGCGTCCGGGTTCCAGGCCTGGCTCCCCAAGGGCGAGGCGGGGTGACCTGGAGGTTCACGCTGGTTCCAGCCTCCAGCAGAGGACCCAGGTCCAGCCTGAGTCCCCGGTGGGGGAGAACTTAGCGGGCTCGTCAGAAAAGAGGGGAGAGGAACAGGAGGCTCTGGTCTGCAGCTGGCAGCCCCTCAGGCTGGGGGTGCCCCTAGGGCGGGGGGCGGGTCTCACAAGCCCAGAATATCCACATTGGAAGATACGAGTTCAACACCCCTACCGAAGGCGGGGGTTTGAGAGAGTGCTGTTGCAGGGCAGAGGCCGGGGCGGTCACGGGGACCCTCAGAGACCCCTCACGGGGCAGAAAGGAAAGGTTACGGAGCACCAAGGCCCACAGCCACTCCTGGTCACTCCAGCCTGGACAGAGATGCTGGACCCCCCACGGACGCTAGTAGGACTCGCCCCCCACCCTGAGGGAAACCCAAGCCCCACTAAGATGCGTCCCACGGCCCCCCACCTGGACCTCTGTGTGGCCATGGACACAGGCATCTGCTCCACGGCCCCACATGCACACCTACGTGGCCGGTGCACAGACCTCCCACCCGTCTGGACGATGCCCCCCCCACAGTCCCTCTGGATGTGCCCACGGCCCTGCCACCTGGCATGGTCTCCTGGCACAGATGGACACGCCCGTCCAGCCAGACACAGACACACAAGCAGACACACCCTCACCCGCTGGCTCGCAGATAATAGCTCCAGACGGCCCGCCCTCGGCTGCCCCGCCCAGACGGCCCGCCAGGCCGCACACCCCCACTGCCACACTGCCACGAGGGCGTCCACTTCTGTCTGTGCGTTCACAGGTACTTCCCTGGTATCCAGGACGGGGCTAGTAAGGAGCAGGCGCTCCGAACTTGCTGTGGGAGGACCAGACTCAGACACACACACACACACACACACACACACGCACGCGAGGGGGACAGCCTGACCTTTCTGTGAACCAGCCCCCAGCCCCGTGGGCTGGACAGTCAGGGTCCCCTGGCCAGGAAGCCAGGCTCGAGGTTTCCTACATCCCGTGCCCACTGAGCCGGGGCTCACTCCCTCCCAGTTCTGGAGCCCAGACGTCCGGAACCCAGGGGTCGCCGGGCCACACTCCCTCCGGAGGCTCCAGGGCAGGGTCCTTCCTGCCTCTTCCAGCTTCTGGGGGCCCTGGGCATCCCTGGGCTTGTGGCCCCATTAGCCCAGTTTGCCTCCACTGTCACATGGTTCTCCCCCTGTCTCTGTGTGTCCCTTGCCTTTTCCTAAGGGCACCAGTCACTAGATTCAGGGCCACCTCCCTCCACTGTGACCTGGCCTTCACTGCGTCACACCTGCAAGGACTCCATTTCCAAATAAGGTCCCATTCTAAGGACCTGCACGGACGTGACTCTGAGGGACACCATGTGCCCCGACAGACTTCTTCCTGGAATGTGGGGTTTCATTTGCCTCTTCCTCATCGTCGGGAAGGCAGGGGTCCCTGCGGCTGCCAGTCTGCAGGGCTAGCAGTCAGTGTTGGCTCTGTGTCCTCCCCTCTCCACCCCTCGGCCCCACGGGACCCCCACCAGCCCTGACCGAGGGGCAGAGCTGCGGCCTGCGCTGGGGCCTGCAGTAGGCAGACTGGTTACCGTTTAACCCTGTGACCCCCCAACTGTCCTCTGGCAGAGTGCAGCCGGGTGAGCAGAGAAGGGCAGTCCACCCCGCCCCCGCACATGCCCACCCATGGCCCGCGCCCCCAGCTGCTCCCCAGCAGCGGACAGCCTTTGCAAACGGGGGCGCTGGGCCTTCCAGAGGGCCTGGGAAGCCCCTCCAAGTCACCGCGGGCGGTGCTGGCTCAGGATCAGAAGACTCAGCAGGTTGAGGGGTCTTTGCATCCAGCAGGGAAACTGAGGCACAGAGTGGGTGGGCCCTGCCTGCCGTACCTTGGAGGCATCCCTGGATCAGAGAGGGTGTGCCCCTGCCTAAAACCACACAGCACGTGAGGGAAGGAGGGGATGGGACTCAGTGGGGGCACCCCTGCAGCCCCTGGGGCTACGTCAGCAAGGCAGCTTGGAGCCTGCAAGGGCAGGTGCAGGCGGCTGACTTGTGCCTGGGATGGCCGACTCAAACCACTGACTTGGGGGGGAACGTGGCTGATGGCTAATGGGCCCCACTGCCACCTCACGCTTCCTGGGACACGGGGCCAGTGGGGCCAGCGGTGCGCACGCAAGGCTCACACAGTGGAGCACTGGGAGCCCGGCCGCACACGTGCGCTCATACACGTGTGCTCACAGACCCCACCACGCACACAGACGCACGCAAACTAAACAGCCATGGGAGACGGTGGCCCACCACCTGTCACATACAGGCACATGGGACATGCTTGGCGCTGGGCCAACACATCTGGGGTACACGAGCCCAGGACACGTCCATGCAGATTGGGGCCACGGCACAGGGTGCGCACGCGGACAGACCCAACACTCCAGACACAGGGACACACATGGCGCTGGAGCTGACAGCTGCACATAGAGATGTCACAGATGGGCCACGTGGCCATGGAATGTGCATGTGCACACACGGGACAGTCACGACCCCTAGACCCCCCGCCCTGCAAACTCAGACCCTGCCACACACAGAGCCCCCCACAAGACAGGGCCCCCCCAGCCCACAGGGACCCCACGTAACCACCAGGTCCCCACATGTGCCCGGACACCCTGGTCAGCAGGCTGGACCCCACGTGCTCACCCGCACCCATCCCCGCCTGGCAGAGAATGTTGGGCACCACTCCCTCCCTCTGGCAGCCGCGTGTGTTATTAGAAAGCGTGGGGAGGGGCTGAGCACTTGGCAGCGGCCACCAGGGTGGGGAGCAGCGGTGGGCGTGGGGCCAGGCCGCAGTGGTGGTGACCCCATGGCGGTGACCGGGCGGCTGGGCGGCGGCGCCGGGGCCAGATAAGGTTCTTCCGGCTGAGTCAGTGTGGCTCCCTGTGTTGGCACGGGCAGGGGCACGGTGCCAGGGGCTGGCAGGCGGGCACCTTCCCCGCACCCGCCATGGCCCAGCTGGCTCCATGCCAGCAGCCGCAGCCGCTTTGATGAGGCGGGCGCTGCCCCAGGCGGCTGGGCCGGCCTCCCGAGGGGCTTCCCAGCACTCGTCCCGCCCCCAAGCTTGGGGCCCAGGCATCCTGCCGCCCCAGGATGACACCCGGCACCCGAGGGACCCAGGGCCTGGCCCTAGGCCCACCCTGTCCCAAACACACCGGATAACGGCGCTGGGCTCACCTGACCTCCAGCCTATGCCCAGGGTGTGCCTTCTGTCCGGAACATGCTCCTCCGCCGAGAAGCTCTCACCTTCCCCCCCCCCGGCCCGGCAGGCACAGCTGCAGCACTGGCCTCTTCCGCTCCTGCCTGGAGCATGGGCCCTGGAAGGGCTCCCCCAGCATCTCTCTCCCTCGCCCACTCTAAAAGCCCTGCTAAGGTCCCCCGTGAGCCCACCTTTGGTTTGCCCAGATGTTCTGCTCACCCCTCCCCTCCTACTTCACGTCCCAGCCACACTGTTCCAAGGCACGGACCCTAACCCTTCTCTGTCCATCTGGCCAACTCTTAGATATCCTGCAAAGCCCCAGCTCCAAATCCCACTCCTCAGGGCAGCCTTTCCTCTAAGCCAGCCCTGACAGGGCTGGAGTGCCTGGGTCCACTCCTGGCTCCCCAGCCTCCGGGGGCTCCCAGGCAGGATGAAGAAAACACCTGCCACCTCCTCCCCAAGCCCTGGCAAGGCCAGCTCCCCACCCCCACACCACACAACCCCAAGCAGCCCTCATGAGCCCGGAGATGTTCACTGTGGTGCTCAAGTTTACAACAGGGGAACATGAAAACAGAACAATATGCTAGTTTGGGCCCCACAAGGAAACTGCAGCACTAAAAAGGCAACTCAGAACTTAGATAAAACAGACGGACACAGGGCGAAAGTCACGTGGAAAAGTGGCAGGACAGCAGGGTCCAGCTCAGAGCCCGCAGCCTGCAGCCCCCGAGCGGTCACACCTGGACACCCCGTCAGCCCCACTTCCGTGTGAACGGGCAGAGAAAGGCCCGGAGACACCATGGCCGATGCCGGCCGGGGCGGGGTGGGGGCCTTTGGGCCTCAGGCCTCCCTGGAACCCCCACAAGAATGGTGCCAAGTGTTCTTCTGGAATCAAAAAAGGACTTTAAAAATGTTCCTGGTGGAAATGTCGCTGCGATACTCCAGGCTCCGAAGACCAGACTTAGAGGTAATTGCCAAAGGGAAAAAAAAAAAGTATATAGTGTGTTTTCCGTAGTCAGTAAAATTCTGAGTGACCTGAAAGGACCAGAAAAAAAATGTGACCCCAGCCTTGTGCTGAGGACACATCTGAGGCCCCTGGTTTCAGTCCTAGTTGCTGGAGCCTGTCTCTGGGGTACAGAAGGACACCCATGGGAATTCACTGGGCCCCAGGAGGAGGGGAGGGGCCTGGGTGGGGTCCACGGGGAGGGCGGGGCAGCCTCTCAGGGCTCACTGGTGGCCCTTCCTGCCTGAAGGCCTGTGTATGTCTAGGCCCCAGGTCCTGAGGCCCTGCTGTGGGGCCCTGGACCAAATGTCTCCATTTCAGATGAGGAAACTGAGGCTCAGAGCGCCATCCAGGTCCCCCCAGACCCATAGCCAGTGGGCCCCTGGACGTGCAGCCTGCTATGCCCCCAGTGTACCCTGGGGTCAAATCCCAACTCTGACACCTGCCCTGTGTGACTGTGAGCAAGTGGCTCGCCCACTCTGTGCTTTGGTTTCCTCATCCGCACAGTGGGGGCAATGGGAGTGCCCTCCCCCCGCCGTGGGACCAAGTAAGGGTACGTGAGACTCAGAAGAAGCTCAACCCGCTGCCTGTGCACATTTAGGCGACAAACACCAGCTAGATTTGTCATCCCTACACCTCTTGAGCTCATTTACAAGTTGTGCTGAGCAGACATGACCTTGGTAAGTGGGGAGTGGGGGGGAATATCCCAACATTTAATGCAAATCAAAACCACAGTGAGATAACGCACCACCCCCACCGGACGGCTGGAGTCAGAGTCATAACCACAAGGGCCAGTGGCGACGTGGAGAAACTGGAACCCTTGTGTGGCTGCTGGGGATACAAAATGCAGCTGCCGCCGTGAACGACCACAGCTCCCAGTGGGTTAAATGCAGAGTTCCCATGTGACGCAGCAGCCCCCCTCCTGGGTACACACATTTGTGTAAAACTCGTACACACGTGTTCATGGCAGCCAAAGGAAGAAACAACCCAAGTGTCCACTGGTGGACGAGTGGATAAACACAACGTGGTATACGCACATCTAATAGAACATGGGGGAGGGTACAGCTCAGTGGGAGCATGTGCTTAGCATACAAAAGGTCCTGGGTTCAATCCCCAGTACCTCCTCTAAAAATAAGTAAACCTAATTACCTTCCTTTCCCACACCCCAAAAAAACCCGAATGGAATATAACTCAGCCATGAAAAGGAGAGCAGCCCTGACACCTGTTCCTACGTGGACGTACCCTGAGAACACGGTGCTCAGTGAGAGAAGCAGACACAGAAGGACACACAGCGTGTGAGTCCATGGACGTGAAACGTCCAGAACAGGCCAGTCCCCAGGGGTGAACAGTGGGTTCCTGGCTGCTGGGCTGGGGAAGGGGACAAGGGTAGCAGCTAAAAGGGGCATTTTGGAAGGTTTATCCTTGAAGAGATGGAAACATCCTAAGGTTGCCCGTGGTGATGCCCTACAGCCCTGTGAATGTACTAAAACCACTGACTTGCATCTTCAGTGGGGGAATCGTGCTCTGTGACTTTTACATCGATGAAACTGTCAACGGAAGTCCCAGAGTTCACGTGCGTCGTGGAGACTGAGGATTCAAACCCTTAAAAGTGGCTGACAAGCTGTTATTCAGCGTCTGCTGGCTTAAAATTCCTCGGTGGTACTCTCGAGAGCCCAGGCGCAGCCCTGCTAGTGACCCGAAGCCACCGGGATATCACCAAATGCCACATGTGACCGCAGCAGGCTGAGATCCTGATCACCATGCGCGACACACGGACCCGGGACAACAGCGGCCAACCCCGCACACGCCCCTGGGGCCCCACAGCAGCGCTGCTCCCAGCTTTCAAGGGAAGATTCCATGGCCATGAGCCTGAAGCTCCTGGCCCCTCCCCTGCCTGGCTGCCCCCCAGACCCCATCGCCGATGGCGTAATTTCACGGCTGTCGAGGGTTTTTTGGGCGGAAGTCAGCCCCAGGCCCTGCCAAGACCAGGGAGGAAGAGGCAGAGGTGGTGCCAAGCAGGAGGCTGGCTGGCCTGGCTGCCACGTGCCAGGAAGGGGGTGGGGCAGGCGCCAGAGTCAACATGGCCCCGACATCTGCTGGGCCGGCTGGGCCCGGGCCACTGTTGACACTGGCTGCACAGGTGCCTGGCCAGCTGGGCTGGAGGGCAGCGCCGGCCGCTGGACCTTTCACAAATGGACAGGAAGAAGATCCCAGCACCGCAAGGCAGCCCCTCACCTGACCATAACCTCCCTCAGCCCTCACCGTCTTGGAATCCAGGCCCATTCCCTTTGGGACCCAGCCTGGCGGCGTCTGGCCTCCACACACAAGCCAAGCTGCGTCCTACCTCAGGGCCTTTGCACGGGCCATTTCCTCTGCCAGCTACACCATCATTCCTCCGTGTAGTGCCTGGCTCCTCCTATGAGACTCGGCCCAAACGCCATATCCTGAGGGGCCTTACCCGCCTCCCCAGCTGGGTGCCCAGCCACATCTCAACCCCTGACCGCACCACGACCACCTTGGCCTTCCTATCCATTTGCTTACCAATTGTCCCTGCCCCACAGCAGGGGAGCCGGGCAGCTAGCGGGGACTCCATAGGCACGAGCCTGACTGTGTGACACGGGTCCCCTGACTTCCTCTGGCCTCAATTTCCCCATCCACAAATCGACCCTGGGCATCAGCAGGACGTGATCATCACGTCCCAGACAAGAAGGACAATGGCTCCCGGAGACCCCTTGTTCTGGACATGCTGAAGGGGTTGTGAAGTCAGGGCACCTGACCCCTGGACTCTGCCCCGCTGGCCACCTGAAATCCCCCTCCCACCAGCACTGGGCCCTGTGGCTGGGGCTGCTGGTCGACCTCCAACCCCACAAGGGCTCCGGTCCGGCCATGACCCTATGAGGTGGCGGGTGTCTGTCCAGCTCTGGCCCCCCAGCCTGGGGCTGCCCAAGAGAGAAGTTCAGGGCAGATGGCAAAAATCCAGTGAATCCATAAAGATAATTCGCCCATAAGGTTCCGGTCTGCGTTATTTTGACCCTGAAGAACATCAAGGAGCCCAGTTCTGGGAAACCCGCCCCCCCAGTGCCTCGCCTGTGTTTTCTCATCTACAGGCCAGATGACAACAGCCCAGCCACGAGGGGCTCCTTGGGAAGGGGAGGGAAACTGAGGCAGGGAGCTGGGCAGCCCTGAATCCAGGGTACCAGCGCAGGCTGGTGTCCACCCACAGGGGCAGAGCCTCCCAGGCTGAAGGGTGCGGCTGGCCACGCCCTAAGGAGGTGACGTCTGCTGTGTGTCACTCCACCTCCGGCATCACCACGGTGCCAGGACCCAGTGGGAAGCTGGGGCCCCTCCTAGCCCGAGATGCCTGGGCAGGGGATTAACCCTCCTTCCCATTCCTTGAAGCTGACCTCCTGCCCCCAGGCCTCTGTCCTGGCCATGCCCACCCCAGGGCACCATCTCCTCCTGCCTAGATATCTCCTATTGCCCCCGTCAGCCTCTGGGCGGTCCCCTTCATGCCGTGCGTCCACTTTCCAGTCCTGCGCTTTACCTGAGTTCCGCTGGGGTCCCAGTGCCCTTTCCCCAAGTTGGGGTTGACAGCAGAGGCCCCACACGGTGGCCCGGCCTCCTGCGCCCTCCGGAGGGTCCCACTGCCCATTCTGCACACCAGCACGGGGAGGGGGATGACCCAAGGCTGCACACGGTCACCTCCCGGCTCCCATGCACCCCAGATGAGGCTCAGGCGCCAGGCCGGGGAGGCCAGGTCCCCACCGTCCACTCTCAGAGGTCGGGGCAGGGCCCAGCTGGCCTCAGGCTGGAACGCAAGCCCAGCCGGCCGCCCTGGCCGCCATCTGGTTTCCCATCTGCCCGGCCCAACTTCAAAGGATCGGCTGCCTGGCCACTTCCTCTGCCCTAGCCGCCCGCGGGGAAGGCACCCGGGCGCCCGCTTCCTCCCCACCCCTCCAGAGCCCCAGGGAGCCACCATCCGCGGGGCTGTCCGCACTGACATGGCCACCCTTGTCTCAGCCCAACCTCCACAGCCGCAGCCTGGAGAGACCAGCCTCCACACAATGACAAGGCCTCTGGCCCCGCGTCCCTGAGCCCTGGCCACTGCCGCGGGCCTCACCACGACCCACAAGGGGCCCCGGCCAGTCACACGGCCTGAGGAGAGGTCGTTTCCCTGTCTGGTGCTGGCGCAGACACCCAAACTCCACCGCCCACCTTGTGTCCTCACGTATCCACACATCCCCGCATCTAATGGCCGTCCCCGCCCACCCACAGAATACAATCTCCCTTGTGGCTCCTACAGGATCTCCAGTGCCCAGCCCGCAGCCAGCAAATGCCCTGCTATCCTGGGCCAGTTAGAAGGACCCCAGCAGCAACCTCGTGCCCCCATTTTGACGCACAGCCCACCTGCTTGAACTGCTCTTCGTACGTCCAGTCCCCATGGTCAGGCGGCTGCAGCTGGGGCGCTATGTGGGCAGCCCCTCCGGGGTGGGCCGGGCCAGACCCCGGGCGCTCCTGGCCGCCCAGTGCTCTCGGCCCACCATCGCTGCGGAAGGCCTGGAGCGGCTGGGCCTTGCGGGGGAACAGGGCTGTGGGGCCGAGGCTAGCAGAGCCAGGGGGCCCGAGCCCCTCCTCCTCCCCGTAGTCCTCCTCCTCCTCGTCCTCCTCCTCGTCCCCCAGATCTTCCTCCAGCTCCTCCTCCTCGTCTTCCCATTTCGGCTTCCTGGGGCAGACACAGGGCAGGGGGTTAGGGGAGGAGGCCCCAGCTCACCCCTCCAGCCTGTTTCCCTCTCTGGATGTGGGAGAGCAGCCCCCAACTGCTCTGGCGGCCGAGAGGGCCTGTGAGCATGACCTGTTTAGGGCCTGAGACATGTCGTTCTTGTTCCCAATTAGCCCAGAACAACTAGAGGTGACCCTTTGGTAGAAACCCCAGCCCCCCAGCCCAACTGCTAAGCCCAAATCCCCTTCCCTGACCACACTGCAGTAGCTTCCTCACTGGGTCTCCAAAATGTTGACCCAGCTCCTGCCTCAGGGCCTTTGCTCAGGCTGTTCCCTCCACCAGGCATGCTGTTCCCTGCTCCCCCCTTGCCCTCCCTAGGGGCTGTCACTGGGGCAGGGAGACCTCCCCTCACCACTCCTGAAAGCTGAGCCCACCCCTAGCCACCCGCTCCAAGACCCCTGCTTTATATTCTTGCTGGCCTCAGCCTCAGCCTGCTTCCTCGCTCGTTAAGTGTCTGCCGAGAAGGACCCCAGCAGGGTCTCAGCAGCACCAGCTCGGGGCGCGCATCAGACCTGGTGGGATGCATCCGTGAGCCAATCAATGCCCACTAGTGAAGGTTCCTAATCTGTCGCAGGCAGGCGACAGGGGCCGCTGGCCACACACAGCTAGTTCCGTTCAGGTTGAAATAAAGCTACAAAGGCAGATCCCCGGCCACACCGGCCACATTTCAAATGCTTGTCAGCCATGGAACACAGGTGGCTCCCACCCCGGGTGGTGCAGGTGGAGAAAGGTCCCTAGTCACCCAGAAAGCTCTAAAGGACGGACGCTCTTGGTGGTCAGCAGGACAGGGGTTTTGTCCCCCCTCTGTCGCGGTATCCCCAGGGCTCAGAGCAGCCTGGCACCCAGCAAGTGCTCATTAAATGCTCATTCAGGGTGAACCCCAGAAACCCCAACTCACAGGTCATCGTCGGAGCCTGTGTCCTCGAAGTGTCCGTCGCCTTCAGGAAGTCCCACCGCCTCCCTGCCTCGGCCAGGCGGGCCGGGAGAGCCGGGTGCCCCCTCCTGGGCAGCGTCCTCGTCCTCCGAGCCGGCGGGCCCATCCTCGGAGCCGCTGGGGCTGGGCGCGTGTCCGAGGCCGGCAGCCGCAGCCCGCATGGCGGCCAGCGCGGCCATCTGTGCCCGCTGCATTCGTGCATTGTCAGGCTCTCTGTCCTCGTCCGGGGCGGCCCGGGTGCGGGCCGGGGGGCCAGCTGGGGGCTCAGGCGGCGGCGGCTGTGGCTGCCGGG